GGAAATACGCTTTGGAATGTTGGTTCCATGCCTCAGCCTCTGGTCTTGTGTTGGGCTGGACTTGACCAGTGCAAGACACCAGTTGCTCTCTAATAGTAGCAGCTGCAGAAGGGGCAGGCTGAGAGGTGTAGTCACAGTGTGGACTTCATTCAGCATCACCGTGAGACGGCTGGTGTGATTCCTCAGTCACCGCTGCCCTGTCAACTCTACTTCTGTGAGAACTTGGAATGGTTTTTTTGTTCTGCTTTTTTAGCTTCTGACACGGTCGACTGGGAAAGTTTTGCATACTAGCCATTTCCAGTGTTCTGTGCAGGGAATTAAACTGACTCCCAAGGAAATAATAGGCAAGTGTTTTGAAATCCACGCTGATGTGTGTGCACTACACAGTAATGGGGTGTAGTTGGCAGGTGTGAGGTGCGGTATCAGAGGTCCATTCTCTGTGGGTACAGACACACGCTTTTTCAGCACACGTCTGAGAGAATCAGGCCAGAAGAGCCAGGCGTGTGCATCAGCATGTACATCAGCGGGGCCTCTTGTTACGTGCCATGAAGACCTTGACCTCACTGATTTAGTACTTCCTATGTGTAGTTGCTACACCTCTGGTTTCAAGGCCTAAATCGCATCTGAGCTTTTAGAAAGCCTCCTTTGAGGGCTGGGGAAGATAGCTCCGTGTTATGAGCGTCACCTGGCAAGTGCAAGGTCCTGAGGTCAGATCCCTAGTACCAAAAAAAAAAAAAAAAACCTCCTTTGAAAGTACTGTGTGCTGGGACTACCTCTCCACTGATCTTCCCTGTCACTGAGTATTGTTTTACCTGAGATTATTTTCCAGAAGGACTCATGAGACTCGTGATGGCCTCGCCTTCCCTGGATTTCAAGAATTATTTCCTTACATCGGTTTTTCGTGATATGGGTGCTGGGGCAGTTCCTGTTCTCCTGTTCCTGGCCACTGTCTTTTGTCTTTTTTTTTTTTTAACGGAACCGGGGATTGAACTCAGGCCCTTGCACTTGCCAGGCAAGTGCTTATTCTACTGAGCCATCTCCCTGGCCCCATCCTGGCCACTGTCTTGCTCTCTTTCTCTATGATGGTGGGTAGTTGGAAGTCGGAAGCTGGAAAGCTTCCTTTCTCTTTGACATTCAGAGCAGAATTGAAGCGAGAAGAAGATAAAAGAGAAGTAGAGAGTCATGCAGACTATAAAGCGATGCTGTTAAGTTGAGCTGTGGGGGACTCAGGTCAATAATTTCTGACATTGCCAGTTAAACAGAAGACCCAATGCTATTATGGGCTACTGGACTCTTTTAGAATATTTTGCTGAGTTTACACACCTATAATATTCAATAACGGAACTTAGAAAAAATGGGGTATACCGATGAATGTCCATTTTGTATCTGTGTATTCAAAGTGGTTGGGATAGATATATAGTTGCATTCTCTTAATGAATAGAATGATTTGTTCTAATGGTGTCTGTAAATAGGATCACAAGTCCGCATCTTGTACAGCAATTAACCACTAAGAAGAATATATGCAGTGTATTATTTGTTGAAACTGTACTTCCGATTTGATTTGAAACTGTCTCATTGCTGTTTATCAATAAAACTTTGGAAAAAAAAAAAGAAAGAAAAGGAAAAAAAAAAAGAGAGAGAGAGAGAGTCATGCAGACTCATCTGTAAGGAAAAGGCCAGCACAGAGGTTTGTGGGGAGAGAGGACGAGCGTTGGTGGTGGAGCTTCATGCCTGGGCCTGCGGGGGGCCTTGGCTTCATGCACATTTTAAAAGAAAGTATCCAGAACATTGCTAATGAAAATCTCTGTGCACACGTATAATTGTGGTGTGATCACTTATGATGCTATGTATTGGAAATTTGAAGAAATTCTGGCCCACCACAGAGCTGCTGCATTGCTAGAAATGTTACAGGGGCTTTCCTCGTATGCTTTTTTTCTCTGTATTCCTCTAAACAAAGATTTTCTTGATAAAATCTATGGAGTCACTCTGCTCCAATTCGTAGAAGAACTAGGAAGTTGGCTCAGTAAAAACACAGGAAGGATGATTCATGTTTTCAGATTAAAAACTGCAGAATGATAGTAGGAACCTCTGTCCGTGTGGATGGATTCCCACGGCACTAATTCCTGGGCTCCTGAATGTCGGAAGACTCTTCACCTGGCTTCTCCTGAGTAAATAACGGCTGCCTGCACCAGGCCAACTCTGGAATGGGCGAGCGTTTGGTAGGGTTTGCTGTTTTGTGAAGCAATATTTACTGTCCTCAGGCTCATTATAGATAACGAGCCTCCGCCGCCGGCTCCAGTGATGCTTGCTGTTTGCTTTCTCAGTGTTAGGAAAGACCGTGGGAGGCTCCTGGGCTCAGTTTGACGCAAACTGTTCAAATTCATTCGCAGATTGCGCTGTGCAGATCCGAGTGGAAAATGTGTCAGCGCTGGAAATATGCTAGTTTCCAAATTTTAAACACTTTCTTCTTTTTGAGGCTGGGTCTCACTGTGTCATTCAGCGATCTTGAACTCACTGTGTAGCCCAGGCTGGCCTCACACTTGCTGCGGTCCTCCTGCGTCAGCTTTCCAAATATTCACCTGGTTTGACTCTTGGTGATCCTCCTGTCTCAGCGTCCCC